CATTTTACAGCAACCTACTTATTATGAAAAGCGCGCTATGCATCCAAAACATCCCGTACCTACAATTGTTTGAAAGATATAAAAAGTAAAACGTGGAGTAAAAAGGCATGCAGCTATAGCGTTACCCTTGTTCTTGTTTCTCTGGCTTCTCTGATTTAACGTCGGTCGACATTTTGCCTTCAGATGTTCGCTGTCCTCCTCCTCCTTTATCAGATTAAACTGCTCGAAACCACTCAGACTAGGTCTAGATACAGACAAACACGAGTTTAAGGTCGTAAAACCAATGAGGGTCGCTGCTCAGTCGTGTTGTTGTTGTTCCGTTGTCGCCACAACAGCAACAAATGTTCAGTCTGGAGTCCTTCGTCTGGTGAAATGGCGGCGACACAGAAAAGGCGAAGCTGATATTGGACGCGGAGAGATGCATGATGGGAAACAGCGTGTGATGCATTCTAGTTTAAAACTCTCAGGTGACCAGTTCACATAAGATATTTTAGATTCACCGTAGTTGTTTTTTTAAATTTAGCATATTATGACATTGATAGTTTGATTTTTAATACAGGCCTAAAATATTTCAACCTTTTTGTTTTTTTTGAAATCCAAAAAAATACGAAAATTACGTTAGTTTGACATTATAAACAAAGAGCCTAGTAATCAAAACAAACGAACATTTGTTTAAAAAAAAGATGTGACTGTCCCCTCATTTCCACCACACTGAACAATTTTACTCCTAATAACGTATTTTCATTCTAATATTTGTGTATCAGAGACGGTGTCAGTTAAAAGTCTGAGGTGAAATACGTGTGAGGAAAACAAAGAAAAATCGACTTATTTTTCCATTCAAGCTGTAATTTTCTCACATTACACGAAACGTGTGGAAAATGATTCCTTATGTATTTTGTATAGCCTACATGTAGGCCTAATTATGGCCTATGCTAATTATGAAATTAAAAAGGGCATGAAAAAGGTTGCCACGTTTTTCTAAAAATGTTTGAAAACCACATAATGCTATTAAACAGTATATAATTCAATATGGGTAACACTTTACAATAAGGTTCATTAGTTAACATGAACTGCACTTATAGTGTTTATTAATCTTTGTTAATGTTAATTTCAACATTTACTAATATTATTAAAATCTTGTTAACATTAATGTACTGTGAACTAACATGAACATCTGTATTTTTATTAACTAACATTAGCGTAGATTAGTAAATACAGTAACAACTGTATTCCTCATGGTTAGTTCATGTTAGTTAATATATTAACTAATGAACCTTATTGTAAAGTGTTACCTCAATATGTAATGGAAATTACACTTTGGTGGGAAATTTCATGACAAAAACTTTTGGACAGAGTTGTTTTAACAATTTGAATTGCAATTCAGCTCATTCATCCTTTTTTCAGATTCTAATTCAACATCCTGTGGGGCTTTTTAATTTCATGTGAACATAATATTAAATGCTATGAAAGCCCACATGATGGAATAAAAAACAATTATAAAGGTAATTGTAACTTATCTCACAATTCAGACCGTTTCTCATAATTCTGAAAGAGGGGGAAAAAATCCGAATTTTATTTATTTTTTTTTACATCCCACAATTTTCTGACTTCTCAGAATTGCGGGTTTATATCTCAGATCTCAGTCAGAAGTTTACATTTATTTATTTTTCTTTAATCTGTGCTGAAAATAGGCTTCCATAAAATGCAGAGCATAAACTGGTTTGTAGCCCAAAAGAGCGATTTTAAGCCATTTCTGAAATTGTGCAACCCCTCAGAAATCTCTCGAAAGAACAACAGCACAGTTACCAGGTCCAGAGCATCGTTTTTAATTTGCTTTGCACACTTTTCTTGGCTGATTTCAAGCACCAACATATTTTGGTGAGGTCATTACAGACATCTTTCTCTTAGCCACTGCACAACATAAACATTGTAGTATTTCAAAAGTTCAGTGATAAAAATCCTGTGCTCGATGAACAACTGAAAACAGAAGCCAAATGATACATACAGTATGAATACATTAAAACACACACTGACAAAATTAGAGCTATTTCAACTGAATCAACAAACTATGCGAACATGTGTACAATTAAGTTCAGATTTGGAAATGCCTCCTTTTTGAAACTGCAACAAAAGATAACCCCCCTCAGAAATTTACAACAGAAATATTTCCATGATAAATTAGTGAAAGTGCCATTGTATTTAAACAAGAAAGCATGCACTGAAGGATCAGATAAGTTCGGTTTTATTAACATCATCATTTGAGCTGCTGAACTGCTCTTGCAGTGTTGCATATTGTGGCCAGCTCATTGGCATCCACTGCATGTTAAAAACACAAAATAAACAATAAAACTATGAGTTCAACATTGTGTCCAACTCTTATGTCCTTCATATGCAACATCTACATCTATGTATATATCATACATGTATTGTTAAGGTTATAGGTAAGAATTGCATTGTAATATTTTAGAAATTGCACTCTCGATGTATTACCCAACATTGCAAAATAACCAAGGAATGGCCCAAAAAGTGAAGAAAGCAGGTGGAAGCACAACAACGAGACAGCATTCCTCAAGTTAGCATTAAGCTGGTAAAGTTGCCTATCGTTGGTGATCCAACACCACTAGTGGTTTGAGATGATGGTTCAAATCAGCACAAAAGAGCAACTTCTTTCCAGAAAAACACTGAGCAATGGGAAAGATGATGATTTTGATGATGGATTATTCCTAAAACTCTTCAAAAATATCAAAATAATTATTAACAAATAATGGCATCATATTTAGTGTATCTATTGCACAACTTTTCCCCCTTAAATTAAAGAATCCATTTAGAGAGGAAAAACGTTTTTCTCCCATCTTCCAAAGCGAAATGAGCTCACGAGAGATGGGGGGGGGGGGGAATTTGAGGGGAAAAGCCTTTTGCATGTTTGAATATCCAACTACAGAAGCACCTTTTGGTTTCAAACTCTCTCGTTTGTAGCACAGAACATCGTCAGTGCCACACCGACCGCGTGAACTACAAGCGTCTAAGCGCAAGCCAATCAGCTGCGTCCTTTCAAAAAAGTGGTCAGCAAATAATTGAGACATTCATGGGCCTGTCTGCTCCACACACATATACTGAACCCTAGACCTACAGCACACAACACTTCTTAACAGACATCAGTTTATCTACACATTTACAATTGAGACGCATCAGAATTTACAATAAAAGAATTAGTGGACCTACATATCTTAGGTAGCTCATTTTATTAGCCTTAAAAGAACAGTTCAGCAACAAATAAAATTCTGTCATTATTTATTCACCTTCATGTTATTCCAAATTCACATGCTGTTTTTTTGTTGTTGTTGTGGTTTTGTTTTCCTCCAATAGATGCTTTTTTTCCATTACAGGATAAAAAAATAAAGGTAATTGCAACTTTTTATCTTACAATTCTTTAAGATAAAAAACCTAACCTAACTCTGACTTTTCTCAGATTTCTTAGTTTACAATTTACAATTTTCATTTACTTTCCTCAGAATTCTGAGTTTAGAATCTTGCAATTCTGTTTTCTTTCTGCCACAGAATATAAAATAAAAAAGGAGACTGCAACTTTATCTCACAATTCTGGCTTTTTTTCCACCTTTTTTGCGAGTTAACACCTCACAACTTTTCTGAATTTCTCAGAATTGTGAGGTAGTTCTGTATGATTCACAAAATGAACAAGGTGCATCGAGAAAAAAATATATATATAAATATATATATTTTTTTTTTAACAAAACCAGCAGCATTTGTGAAGTGGAGAAGTGAAAGTGAACTGAAAAAAGTAATACTGTTTATTGAATACTTGCTGGTATAAAAAAATAAAGGTAATTGCAACTTTTTATCTTACAATTCTTTAAGATAAAAAACCTAACCTAACTCTGACTTTTCTCAGATTTCTTAGTTTACAATTTACAATTTTCATTTACTTTCCTCAGAATTCTGAGTTTAGAATCTTGCAATTCTGTTTTCTTTCTGCCACAGAATATAAAATAAAAAAGGTGACTGCAACTTTCTCTCACAATTCTGGCTTTTTTTCCACCTTTTTTGCGAGTTAACACCTCACAACTTTTCTGAATTTCTCAGAATTGTGAGGTAGTTCTGTATGATTCACAAAATGAACAAGGTGCATCGAGAAAAAAAAAATATATAAATATATATTTTTTTTTTTTAACAAAACCAGCAGCATTTGTGAAGTGGAGAAGTGAAAGTGAACTGAAAAAAGTAATACTGTTTATTGAATACTTGCTGGTATTGTTAAAAAAATAGAATTGTGAGATACATTTAAAACTATCGGATGGACTTGTAAAAGAGCACAAAAGAACCGCTTTCATTGCCATCTTGAAGCTTGATAGAGAGATCACTACAAACTGTCATTGTACACCTTCCAGAAATGATTCACCAAAATTGTTCTATGATTAAAATAACAGCAGTCAAGTTTGGACTGGAGTGACATTACGGTGAATAAATAACGACATTTTCATTGTCAGGTCAACAATTCCCTAAGTGAACTTTACCGCCAAAAGTTTGCGCAAATCGCACACTTTCAGACCTAGATCTTCTACAGCAAGTGCATAAGGCGCAAAAAGTCCACATAAAGAGTGGCAAATGTGCAATTATTACGATTCTGCATATCCCAAAGAACCATTCCCACACTTTCAGATGGTACGTAACAGTAGGGAATGAAAAGATCTGATGAATGGTGTTCTGCAGATTGTTCTTGCACCAATACGACACACATCTAAAAGACGCCTTTGCCTAAATACTGTAGAGTCATTCATGGATGACGGTTTCATTACTGGTCTGGCAATGATGTTTAGCTATTTGATTACTTCTTCCTCTGCGGCTTGACCTGCATCTTCCACAAAGTAAACTGCTACAAAATCCCAAGTATGCCTTCCTCAACATCGGCCATTTGATACCTTCTAAACAGCACAAATAGGCAGAGCTTACAAAATGCATACTGTAAACACACAAACATCTGATGAATGGTGTTCTGCAGATTGTTCTTGCACCAATACGACACACATCTAAAAGACGCCTTTGCCTAAATACTGTAGAGTCATTCATGGATGACGGTTTCATTACTGGTCTGGCAATGATGTTTAGCTATTTGATTACTTCTTCCTCTGCGGCTTGACCTGCATCTTCCACTAAGTAAACTGCTACAAAATCCCAAGTATGCCTTCCTCAACATCGGCCATTTGATACCTTCTAAACAGCACAAATAGGCAGAGCTTACAAAATGCATACTGTAAACACACAAATACATTTGTCTTCAAACACCAAAAAAACAAAGGAAAAAAAAAAGATTTTGAAAATGATTCTGAACTGTAGAGGTCTGTTTGCATCTGCACTTACTACAACTCGACAACATAAAGTTGCCACATATTTGCATCCCAAAAGCGTATACGTATCTACATTTGTTCAGCTCACATCTAGGCTACGTTGTCAGAAAATGCTACGACTTTAGAATCACCGCATGTTGTTTTACATTGTTCGGAGACCATTCGGTTCGGAAAAACAGCCCACAGCATAATCATGACAATGGCGGCGTGTTATTGCACTCTCTTTTTTTGTTTTTGCCTTTCTCGCTCTGGATGAGCTTGAGCGTCCTCTACGCCGCAGCAGATATACATCAGCCTCCACATTCATTGCTCAAGCATATGGCCCTGTAATACCCATGTCGATCGAAGCTTAGAGCTTACTTGTTAACTTAGTGTGTATATATTTATACATTTATATCTTGACTAAATTGTATAGGAGTCACAAGAACTAAGTTCGCTTAGGTGCGACTCCGTCGGGTTCAGATGGAAAGTACTTGAAGGTAGGAGAGTAGAAAAACTATATATCGAAAACGAAAGAAAGGTTTGGTTTTAAGCTTCAGCAGCCGTATGTACTTGAGTCATAATCCCCCGCCACTGTGCTCAAAGGAATCGTCTATACACATAAGTTAGTTTTCCGATTGTTTCAAATACAATGCATACTGAACAGTATGGGGCCTCAGCCTGGCTGTTCAAGCCCCTGATAAATAAAAGGTGTCTTTAAACAACACACTCATAAAGGCTCCAAAAATAAAACATTAAAAGAGACTGGTGAAAAAAATTTAAATAAAATAAATGAAGTGCTCACATATTTAGATAAAAAGGATTAAATAGAAAATAATGCATCCATAATGCCACGGCTCTAGTTGACGAAGCTGCGTCAAGAACATGTAGCACGCTAATACCACCGCGATCGGGCCCCGTTCCCCCGTACCACGTCTCTCATACTATGGTCTCGTCTGCTGTCTTTTTCAGCAGCTTTGTGGAAAGCAAGGAATGCTGGGTAGAGTGTGCACCCTTGGTGTCAGGAATGAGCAAGCGGACTTTCTGATTGGTTCGTCTCCACTCTGAGTACAACTGACAGTGGTAGCGGAATGAGACCTGCAAAACAAGGACACTTTTTCACACTTTTGGTTAAAGGACCAGGTCCTAAAATGATGAATTTCATGAAAAATATATCTGGGTGACATTTCACGCCAAAATTAGAAGAAAAAGTATGAAAGTATGATTTTTTTTTAAATTACAGGAACATTCTCTCCACTCTCCAACTGTCATTACCGGAATATAATGAGAATCATCCTGTCAGGACACCATTTTTTTTGCATTAAAATCAGCGGTTTAAATTAAAGGTGTTACAAGAAATATTACAGCATAAAATAGTAAAAAGTAAAAAAAATTTATGAATTACAGCAATGAGAAAGTTTTTTCTGCATTATGGTAATAAGAATGATTTTTTTTGCATTGTGGTAATGAGTATGGGATTTTCTTTGCATTATGATAATGAAAATTTGTACAATACAATAATGAGTTTTTTTTTTCATATTAATGAGAATTTATTTGCATGCATTAATAAAAACCAGATTTTTTTAGTGGTTACCATGTTAGAAGCAAAAAAATAAAAAAGCATTATGGTAATGAGAATGAGATATGTTTTTGCATTATGGAGAAGAGAACAAGATATTTTTCATTGCACAATAAAAATGATTTCTTTGTATTATGGTAATGAGGACAAGTTTTTTTGCATTTCGGTAAAGACAACGAGATACTTTTGGCATTGCAGTACAACAAGATTTCTTTTTGCGTTCTTTGCATTTTAAAACATATTTTACACAATTAACAGAAAGCATTGTTTCTTTTACTTCCTTTCTATTTTTGAGGTGAAATATGACCCAGACATGTTCAGATAAGTCTTTGTGTGATTCCCCCAAAATGAATGTCAACATCCTGCTTTAGAATAAAAATGTCAATGTAATCTGCATTTAATTGGATGTAATACACTACCAGTGTCCAGAGGACGTAGATGGTGAAGAGTGCGATGGTCAGAGCGATGAGGCCGACTGCCTCCAGGCGACTGTTGAAGTGCAGGTGGTCCTGTGCACCCCGTAGACACAGCCAGCCTGAGATGGCTGCAAGGGGCGTTATAAACAGGAAGCACACCATGTCACAGAAGAGGGTGCGCTTCTCATTCCGGGGGCCCGGGTCCCTGAGCCACTATTGAAAGATGATGTGAGGTTTACTGATGATGTATAGATAGACTTTTGCCCAATACCAAAAATTATATGTTATGACCAATAACCAATATCATGGTCGACATTCTTTGTAAAGACCAGTTTGAAAAATATTTTACCACTTTTTAACTTAATTCGTTATCAATATTGGGTCCACAAGTGCTATTCAAAGGTAAAGTAACTTATTTAAATGTATTGTTTGGATAATTTTTCAACTGAGAAATGTGTACCTAATCAATTAGACATGACAAAACTGAGATGAAAATAGATCAATTCAAAAGAACATAAATATACAGCATAAATAATGTCAGCAGTAATGATAACACCGCCCTGCATCATATTTGCTGAATATGAAATCCAATATTTGTTTCTTTTGATTATGATATGAAATACGAATGCATTTGCATTTCATAGCATTTTTGCTTTCAACAACCATTTGTTAGGTGAAGAAGTCTTGTATTATCCCGTAATCATCAAAAAACTGCCTTAAAAGATATGATTTCTACCTTCCTGTGCCAGGTTACAGCTATATGTTCAATTCTTAGCCGATTTTTTGTATTAATGATTCTGAAGGCATTATGTGATGGAGAGACCTTAAAGTTGTCTTCCATCACTGTTTTTACTGTGTTCTTATTCTTTTTGGTTCATTTGTTATAATATTTACGGGGGTATTTCCTGATCTAATTGGGTGGGCGCGGCAAAAAGAGGTGTAAACTTGAGGAGAAGCACTCATGTTAGCTAATTTATGGAAATATTTGTGCAAATATGTTTGATTTATCCGTCCTTTTAATGGCATTAACTGTATTTATCTACTTAACTCTTGTTCTCAATTGTCACGTATAAATCATATTGTGAGACAAGAGTTTATTTAATAAAACAAAGTATGGTCCAATTTGTAAGAGTGGGAAAAATGTGTATTTAAGATGGTAGAAGGAAAGAGGCGGACAGAATAGGAACCGTTCTTTTGCATCTTCTGGAGCACAAAATGATTGTCTTGATGAGTATCCACGTAAACAGTCGGTTACGTCTTAATTTGTATCTTTGTATCTAATGTCTCTGAGATAATACGAATAGTCGAGGAGTTTGAGAGTTATAAGTGAAGTGGGAAAAAAGTATGGGGGTGAGTTTCATACAGTGCTGAGTGGCTTCTGCCTTTCTTTCTTTGCTATGCATTATAGTTGTATGAGTCTTAAAGACACAGTTTAGCCAAAAATGGAAATCCTGTCATCACATATTTCACCTCATCACCTCACCTCACCATCATCTTTTGTGTTCTGCAGAAGAAAGAAAGCCACACAGGTTTGAAACAACATGAGGGTGAATAAATAACAACTAATTTTTTTAAAAGTATGTAAATGTATTACTATTGTGCATAACTTCAAAACATATTTTTATTAAATTATCTTTATCTCTAATAAAGTGTTAACAAAAATATTATTATTTAATTATATGTATTTGGTATAAATAAATCCTGGCATAAATTAACTTTAGCCTCTTAGGACAAAAAAAAGTTCAAAGTTCCAACATTTTTAACATTCCAAACATGTTTCAAATGTCACTTCCACCACAAAATGCAGAGAACACATAACTGACAATATGATGGAAATCTTAAACTAGTAACCCCCCTGAGTGAGGGTGAAACCCTAGAACTGCCCCTGCTGAAATCCCTGCAGGAATAAATATTTAATCTATGAATGTGGAGGCAAAACTAAATATAAGGGTAAGAAGAGGTAGAAATTGAAAAAGCTCTTTAACATAACAATTGCTCGTTACCACTTTTTACAGTGGGAGGTAAACGTTTAACATAAAAGTTTTCGCATTGCGTTCATATTCTGAGTTTGATCTTTTAATATCACTAATGCATAAGCCACGTTAAGTGTACATAACAATTGCTCGTTACCACTTTTTACAGTGGGAGGTAAACGCTTAACATAAAAGTTTTCGCATTGCGTTCATATTCTGAGTTTGATCTTTTAATATCACTAATGCATAAGCCACGTTAAGTGTAAAAAAAATCCACTCCGATTACGGTGATGTTGTCTTAGAAGTATAATGTTTATGGCAAGTGAAATGTGAGAGAAAATTGACTTTCCCTGGTTGTTGTTTTAGAACATTAAGTCACGTTGAGAGTTTTTCACATGCTTTTCCACTCCACTGCACTACCTTTGCATCTTTTGCAGTGTCTCGAGCATGATACAGCTTTCCAGAAATGCAGCACTCAAGTCAAAAGAAGTTTAAAAGTTTGAAAATGTTTTTTCTAAGTTCCACTAAACGTTGTTTGATTTGTGAATGCCTTTTAGAATGTATTTATATACAAAAATATTTTTCAAATCATGTAAAGAAAGAGAAAATTTTAGCACTCCAAACAGGAAAAAATAGGTCAACGTCTGCTTGCTTGCTCGTGTCCATCTGCTTTTAATTCACATGCACTTTGCACTTTTTGCACGATGCAATTCTTAAAATAAAAAAGCTGTTTTTGTAGACTTTTCCAATCTTGAGTGGATCAGTGTGCGGTTAGCCACCCTCTTGTTCATTTTCAAATCATGTATGCACAGCATGTATCACTTAGGGGTGTACTCACTTTTGTGGCCAGCGGTTTAGACGTTAATGGCTGTGTGTCAAGTTATTTTGAGGGGACAGCAAATTTACACTGTTATACAAGCTGTACACTCACTACTTTACATTGTAGCAAAGTGTAATTTCTTCAGTCTTGTCACATGAAAACATATAATAAAATATTTATAAAAATGTGAGGGGTGTACTCACTTCTGTGAGATACTGTATATATATACACACACACACACACATGATTTGAAAAATATTTTTTGGAAATCAGATGCATTAATAATAAAATACTCATACTGAATATGTTTTCTTGTTTCAGTATAATAACCATGTATTTATAGCTCAGTGCATATTATAAAAAAGCACAGGTCAAAGATGAAAACAGGTTTTCAAGCATCAAAACAATAAAAGTTTAATACAGCTTTAAATGTTTAAATGTAATAGAATATGTGTCCTGTTTAACTTTATTTTATCTGCTAAACAATTATAACTATTATATATTTTTACCACGATTTACAGAAGTGACCAACTAAAATGTAATTCAGTGTAATAATAGCTTATTTACCAAAAAATAATGTCAGACATATTTACAACCAGAATCATTAGATGACATTAAAAGATCATTTTAAATCTTTGCCACTATCCTTCAAACCACTAAGTTTTATCCATTTGTCAGCAAGAAGTTTTTCAGCATTTAAAATATTATAAAAGTTTGTATGATCACTTTTTCTTTTATATATTTTAATAATTAATTAATACATTATATATTCTATTCTATTAATTTGTTTACATAAATATATGTTTCGCTGAATGACAATGGAACATTATATCAACCACATTTTTGGCATTTTGACATAAAAGTTATTTAAAGCATAAAAGTGGACACTAGGGCTGCACGATAAATCGAAATGGAATCGAGATCGCGATTCGACAGAAGCTGTGATTGTCATGCGTATCTTTCAGTGAAGCACGGTTCTGTGATCAGCAGTAAATCTCCATCCAAAGGCCAGAGGGCGCTCTCGCGCTGAAACTCCAAATACGCCTCGCAGAAGAAACCCAGAAAATGCCTATCGCTGCAGCTGAATAAACAAAAGATTCAACTGCTTTCATTGATTCAACGTGACTAATAAACCCACGACTACGGCAATATACGGTTTATCGGAGTTCTTATTATTATAATTTTCATTAAAATAAAGTATATTTATAATGCAATGCCTTTATAACTGCTTAAATACTATGAAATATGTTGCATGCCTTATTCTGTGTAAGAAGTCACATCATCTCAGAAGGATTTATTTCAAACACTCGACTGACGTTATGAAGTGAGTTTGGAGTAAAAATATGTTATTAAATGTGGTATTTTCACATGCTTTCAGATGGAGCAGCATTTACTTCACAGAGCCGTAGTTCACTGAGAAGCTATGCAAACAGCTGTCATTATCGCAAACAATTTCATAATCGCGCAATAAAATCGTCTGCGATTTTTTTGCGTAACTTGTCAGTGAACTACGGCTATGTGTAGTAAATTCTGCTCCATCTGAAAGCATGTGATGATGATTCCCAGCTGATTACAGAACCGGCTTTACTATCAAAATGCGCATGACAATCGCATTCGATTAATCGTGCAGCCCTAATGGACACTTGCATTTACTTTGCTTTCTATGTATATGAAATCACTTATATAAATTTCATTTGATATGGATGTCTTGTCTTTGACCCATATATAATAAATTATGCCATATAAGCGCACACGCAAGTAAATGTACAATGGCAAACCGAGGTGGAGCCATGCAGATGTGGCTAAAGGCATTAAACTTTGTTACCTCTGTGAGGGGTCGGGGCCGGCGCTCAATGGTAAACTCAGTGTGGCACAGCTCACAGTAGCTGGTGTTAGAGGAGGACAGCCATTTCTCCAGGCAGCTCTTGTGGACCGTGCCCAATGTGCCGGTGCAGTCGCACGGGGAGAGAAGCCCCTCGCTGTTGCACACGTCTTGACCCTCGTGGCAGATCCGACAAATTGGCCGATCACTAACAGAGAGGGGAGTTAACAGCTTTATCTTTAGGCCACTGAAACACACATCACGTGGAATTCAAGTCAAAACCTTTTTAATATTCCACAAAATATTGTTTAGATTTGTCTACCTCTGGGTGCCCAGGGCTTTGATAACAGTAGATAGTAGATGTCCATCCTTGGCCGTGACCTGGGTGACATACTGGGCCCGGCGGTTTTCAGCATCCTCCACGGTTTTTGACAGGGCAGCGTTGCCAGTGCAGTCGCACAGGGAGCCTGGGAGGTGGCAACACTCCCCTGTGGTCATTTCGGGGACGTCCAGGAGGGCGGGGGGCAGGGAAGCACCGGGTGGAAACAGGGAGCAGCCTCGCTCCCACACCTCAAGTCACAAAGACCCTACCACTGCAGAAAGGAGGAGCATTTACAACAGTTACAATAGGGAAATTTCTACAGCAAAAATGGTCAGTTGTCTATTAGCAATAATGTAGCAATGTATGAAGCGCCGTTCAGACAGAAATCACTTTCAAACTGCAAATACCAGGTGCAACTAATGTGTGGTACATAATGTGGATTCCTACTGAAATTATGCAAAAATTCGCCAGATAAGAGTAAATGTGTCAAAGTGTAAATCACTTTTTTTCTGTGAGAGGAATATTGTGTGTTCAATGCAAGTTCAAACAACAGAATTAGTGGCATAGTGTTGATTACCACAAAAAAGTCATTTCAACATTTCCCTCCACTGAGACACTTAAAACGGAAGTGCATGTGGCCAAAAGATAAAGTAAACTAAGATAAGACTCACTATTTTAATAGTACACAAAAAAGCATAGCGTAAAAAAAACACTAGCATTTGAGTAAAGTTACATCCAATTTTACAACCCTGTTGCCTTGACAATGTTGTAAACCCTAAAATTACCTTTAAAAATAATGATTTAAATTGAAGTGCTTTAACAAATCATAAGCTTCACATTTCTGCTTTTAAATCATCCAAAAATTGGCCCCATTTACTTCCATTGTAAGTTCCTTACTGTAAGTTTGATTTTTGCTTTGTCTTTTTTTATTATTATAATTATTTTTCAAGTCAAAACAGAATGCATTAGAGCTTAATTTGTAATTTAAATATATATATATATATATATATATATATATTCCATCTAGAGTTGATTTTCATGCCCATATTTTACTTTTAACTTTCTTTCTGATATAAAAAACACAATGTGGCACACATTTTTGTGAAACAATACAATTTAACCAAATCGTCATTTACAAAACACCCACTTATATTTTATGTCATATCCGGCTATAAACATACATGCATACATACACATACAATTTATTATATATACACACACAAACACTATTTAAATTTTGGGAATATATATATATATATATAAATATATTTTTTAAAAATTGAGCCCCTGTACATTTCTGATCTAGCTTCCTTGAAACACAAAAAAAGTAAACTTCTTTAAATAATGATAATTTTTGAAATCATTAAATCAAAAGTGAATGCAAACAGATGCTGCCTAGCTATAAAGAATGCCAAAAAAGCACTTACAAACTTCCAACAACAAAAAATTGTGCATTATATTCCAAGCTGCTTTGTATAAGAAACCATTTATAATCAAAAACTTGATTTTGACTGATTTCCAAGTTAGGCAGCTGTAATTACTACAAGCTTGCACTGTATGAAAGAGAGAAGCTTGGACATTCTTCAGAACGTCTCCTTTTGTGTTCCACTGAAGAAACAAAGTCATACAGGTTTGAAACAACACGAGGATTCATTTAACATAATATATCATTATTTATAATACATATCAATCATATTGAGGTTAACTTAGTCTATTAACTGAACAATACACTAAAGAAGACGTAGTGAGCCGCCTATCTACAGTGTTTTGGGGTACTGTAGGTTTTGAAACATTATTTAACACATCCTTTGATGAATGGCAACTCGCTGGATTATTAAATCCAGATTATGAATCCACTGATCAAACCAACAACATATAACCTTTACTTTAATGGGAGTGTATGGACAGAAATAGAGATGAGAGAATAACCAGCATAACTGCACTGCTATTTTACATGAAATCATCTACATTTACTGCCATAACATCATTGCACATTTAAAGCATCTGATCTAGTTTGATCTGATCTATCAAGCTGTCTGACACTGGTCTAGTGAGGGCCTTTGGCACACAACACAAGCTGCCAATTAAACATCAGTTTCCTCCAATACAGCGCTAAACGTTTCTTACATTTCAGACTACTGATTTAAATCGAAATTAAACCGATTCGATACGTATTAAGACAAAGGCAGAGTGAATGTGGGAAAATGCAGCTGCATTAGGCTGCTAGTTACATTAGCCATGTAGCAAAATATTCCATCAAAGCCTGGGATTAGAGATTAAAACATAATTTCTTGTCGTCTAATCGTACCTTCTGATTTTCCATGCTGAGCTGGCGCCTTTAAGGGTAAATTCCTTTTAAAAGTGGCGCTTGTTTGAAAGCGATAAGGTAAAAGTACAAGCCTTGTTTTGGGTTTCTTCCCTTCAGCAAACGGCTCGACTCGGCTCGGCCTCCTACCGTCGTCTCTGAGTAGCGCCGTGTACGATAAGAGCGTAGAGGGAGGCGCTTCCGTGCGCAGCGCTGCTTCGGAATTTTCCTAAACGGCTTTCGTGAATAGCCGTCATCCGAGAAGTGCCTATTGTTGTTATTTCTAAGGACTGTTCACTGCTCATGTGAGGCTTTATGTGTTGGGATGGAAATATGGTTTGTCTTTTTAATCATTCGTTAACTTAAATACTTTAGTATTGAGTCTTTATTTTTAGCAATACTGAACAAAATGTGCATGTTTATGCATAACTTAATATTAATATTTTTGTAGTTTTATATTTTAATAGTTTTGTGCATAAAATACACTTTTATTCACTTCTTACAAAAGTGTTTTAGAAATGTAATCTAAAAAGGTTAAGTATTTATATATACAGTATATGAGGCGTCATTACAACCTTTTTAAAAAATGTTTAAAAATATATATATTTTTAATTTTGTGTAAATTTATTTCTTTTGTCATTTTCTACCAGATTGTTTAAGAATATTGCTTAAAAACGTTGAGAATAATTCTTTAATTTGTCTTTTATTCTTTATTTCAGCAATAGTGAGCAAGATATGTTCATGACTAACATAATATTTCACTTTTGTACACATTAAAAAAATTGCACTTTTATTCCCCATCTTTTGTCATTTTTACCAAATTGTTTAGGAAATGTTATGTTTTCTTCGATATGACATTTTTTGAAACTGTGAACAAAATTACTATACTTGAATGTCTTAAGAAATATTTAGTTTTTAATTTTGTTTAAATTACTCCCCTTTTTTTACTCCATTTTTTTCAGACTAAGAATGTCACTGAAATCATTCTTTAATTATTATTCTTTTATAAAAAATATACTTTATTTTTAGCAAAAGCAAACAAAGTGAAAACGTTTATGGCTAACTTAATATTTCATTTTTCACTGTTGTGCTTAAGAAAGAAGTACCTTTATTCCTATTTTCACCAAACGATTTAAGAAATGTCATCTAAAATTTTACATTTTATTTCAAATGTTCATTCATTGATATGAGTGGTTTCTGAAAAATTTATCTTAAACAATACTTTAGGTTTTTAATTTAAGCAAATTTATACCTCTTGTCATTTTTACTACATGTTCTAGATTAAGAAGAACATTTAAAAGTTTTTTTTTGTTTGTCACTTTTAGTTTAAATTAAAAAATATATATTTTTTATTTTAACAAAGTCCTAGATTAAAATCCTGAAAAAAAATAAAATAAATAGCAACTGTATAATGCAACCGTTTTATTGCTTCTGACTACCAAAGCCACAAGGAGCCACAAGGAGACGTTTACCATCATTGTCTGATTACAGACATCAGTTTTACATGTAGCCAGACATGTCAACTTTACTTAGTATTTCAGCTGGTATATTCCTTTGAAGAACTTATGACATGGAAACTAAACAGACTGCATGAGTCATGCCAACCATGTGGCACATGACACTTATTCTAAGTACAGATTCAGACACACTTTTTTTTTTTTTTTTCACAACAATATTGTGAAATATGGAGTTTTTAAAAAAAAAAAAATCACGATTGCAATTGTGACAGTTATTTGGTTTATTTTCCATTTTAATGTAACCTGATAAAAGGCAAAACAGCTGTTGTGACTTCATGGATGTGTAAATGTCACATAACCACACTTGAAAAAGGCATCTTAATCACAGTATGGGAAAACATAAGGCATTTCCAAACTAGCCGTATGACTTAGTCAAACAATCGAATATATAGTGACTTTTTCACTGACCATCTAAAACACTGCGCACCATTGCATTTTCCCACTGAAGAGCTAGAATACCTCAGCAATGCAATGAATAGTTTACATACATATATATATATATATATATATATATATAAAAAACTGTTATTTGAATAATTTCTCAATTCATGAAATGCTTTATAGACGCATTCATATAACTGCTATATATACGGCAATCTGAACGCATTGAACAAATTGCGCAACTTCACACCCATCAGCCCTGGCGTAAAATATTGCAGGATAGGACTAAAGGTGTGATGTATGAAATGTTTAATGAATTGAAATAAAGATGACAGCAGCCCTCCTTTGGTATCCGCACGATCCAAGACAAACTCGATTTTCTTTCCAAAAAACTGGCCCTTTTAACCCAAGTCAGGGATCTGGCTCAACAGACGGCGGGCGTTTAGTGTGGATCCCAGCGAATAACCATCAGAGGAAGCCGAAGACACACTGATCCCTCACCATCCCTTTTTCCGTAGGAGCGGATCACACGATCAGCGCCCAAATAATCACTTTTGCCAAGCAAATGTGAATTCAGACAGTGGATAATAGAAAAAAAAACGGGGACAAACAAACAAGAGCCCCCCCAAAACAAGGAAAAGGAATGTCACCTAGAGATCCACGCTTCTAAGGGTCGTCTAGAATTAGCGTGGAAATCACAACGAGGTAAAAAGAGGAAAGAGCCGTAGCCATAGCACAACACACAGGAGCAAAGCCGAGATAAATAGAGGGGAACTGAAGCACAAGGGTGGGGTAGAGCCGGGGGGAAGTGGGGTCACAGGTTCTGACAGCACTGAAATTTGTTGCCCTTTAAACCATCGGTAGTGGGCGGCACACTGATGTCCACTACGTTGTTGCCAGGAGACTCGTCGTGCATGGACCTGTCGGCGATCTGCTTCTGTGATACGATCCGATAGATTTCTGTAACAAAAAAGAGACATTTAGTTTGAGACGCCCACTGGGAATGTATTAAGTTGCAGTCATATTAATGCTGTACAGTGGGCCAAATCACAGAACATCCTTTCTGCAGGAATCCACGTAATCAGGAATTTCGCAAAAGGACAAAATATTTCCCCTCATAGATTTTGCATTGAGTTCACATTGGTAAATTCTCTGTCGAATTCTTGGGCTTGCAGGTAAAAAAAATCCAATAATTTCAACAGGAATGCACGTGCTCATGCGGCAAATTCTCTGGCTTGATTTGAAAGTGAATTTTCTACGCAGATTCTGTATTATTTTTGAGTTGGTCACATGAATTCGCCACATTCCTCCACTTTGTTTAGAAGCAAGCAGACGAGATCCAGTCATTTCAATAGGAGTCAACGTAATCTGAATTGCGCAGATTTTTGTCCACTAAATTTGGCTGAAAACTGGCTAATGTGACTGTAATTGGAGTTACAATCAGGACCCACCTGTTAGTATGTTTTTAAATGCCTCCTCCACATTTGTGGAGTCCAAAGCCGATGTTTCGATGAAGGAGAGAGTGTTCTTCTCTGGAAAACACAAAATGAGAGATATTTTAACAGCTCAGGTAGATCTTTTCGTACTAAACAACATGAAAATGCAGGAGGAGATGCTCACCTGCAAAAGCTCTGGCCTCATCGGTGGGTACGGCCCTGAGGTGCCTCAGATCACTCTTGTTGCCCACCAGCATGATGACAATGTTGTTATCCGCGTGATCCCGCAGCTCCTTCAGCCAGCGCTCCACATTCTCATAAGTCAGATGCTTTGCAATGTCATAGACCAAAAGAGCTCCGACTGCACCCCTGTAGTACCTGTAAAGGAGACCCACGTAAAACATATACAAAAAATTTATATTGTACAATAACATATTCATAAAGAGGCGATAAATGGGTGTAAATGTTTGCTCTGACAATGATTCAACCATGATGCTTTACTAAATGATGCACTGGATTAAAACAAATAAATATTTGTAATCAATTCTGATATTTTAAATGATTAATTATACTATAATATAATTAAATAATTGTATCAATAACTTTTATAATATTATGGGCCATACATCAAATAAATTATTTTTGTATTATTATTATTTTAGTGATATTATTCTATAAAATCACTTCTAGAATTATACATTTTATTTTTAATTATAGTATAATTATACTAATATTGCTCTGACAATGATTCAACCATGATGCTTTACTAAATGATGCACTGGATTAAAACAAATAAATATTTGTAATCAATTCTGATATTTTAAATGATTAATTATACTATAATATAATTAAATAATTGTATCAATAACTTTTATAATATTATGGGCCATACATCAAATAAATTATTTTTGTATTATTATTATTTTAGTGATATTATTCTATAAAATCACTTCTAGAATTATACATTTTATTTTTAATTATAGTATAATTATACTAATATATACTATAGTTAGTGTACAAGATATAACTTTAAAAGAAAATGATCCTATTATTAAACAGGATTAAAATTATACTCCACATTAATTCTACATTAATTAAATATAATTTATCAATAACTCTAAAATGTATGTACTTACTATTGATGAATTATTATTATTTAAAATTATGAGTTTTTTAATTTTAGCAATAATTCTAAAAAACTACTTTTACATAATTATAATTATTTTATTTTTAGTCATAGTATAATATTACCATATTTCTATAAAATAAATAAATTAATTTATTATTAAATAGAGCTAAATTAAATATACTATTAATAATTTACTTAAAAGAATTTGATCAATAACTTTAACATTACTTTATAGATTTATTATGATAAACCATGAAGATATGTGAACCCAGTGGCCCATACAGACTGATAGGTGTGAATCAATCAGCCCATAGAGGTGATGGGTGTGAGCCAGAAGGCCCACACAAAGGACATTCAATCTTGTGCACTGAGGACCCTACATGGGAGGTCCTAACAGTTCTGTACTCTGGTATAAACTTTTGTCCCACACACAGAACTTTGGATTAAGATTTAATTACATCTTCATGTACTCACGCTGATGTGATGGCTCTGTAGCGTTCCTGTCCCGCTGTATCCCAGATCTGAGCCTTAATGGTCTTGCCGTCCACTTGGATGCTGCGAGTTGCGAACTCCACACCAATAGTGCTCTTGCTCTCCAGGTTGAACTCATTCCGAGTGAAACGGGACAACAGGTTACTCTTCCCCACACCAGAGTCTCCAATGAGCACCACTAGAAAACAGAAGAA